GCCCCTAACACAGTGGGGCCCTGATCCATGACTAGTGCCCTTAGGCACTGCTGCAGCGCAAATAAATAATAATATAATGAAGTGTTTTTCCTTCCTATGTGATACTGAGAAGTGTAAAGAAAAAGTTAAACCATGTGATAATTGTACAGTATACAAATGTAAAGCAGAAAACATATTAGAAAGTCTGATGAAACATTCAAAACTATTATTATGACTTATATGTTTTGTTCTGCTCCACAGATACAAAGACAGTGACCTACTGTTTTCGCTCTTACTACCTAAATTTCTCTAACATACTGACATTTTAAAGAATCATTCAGTGAGCAAAAGAAAATGATACAAAAAACAGTAGCAGAGGTTCTTGACCAGTATTTTGTTATGCATTAAAATAGTGATGGAAAATCTAGAGAGAGCTTGTTAGACAGGCTGCAGTCTTGAAACAGAAACCAAGGTAAGCAAGGAATATATCTATAATACAGCAGTACAGCAGATTAGATCACAATCTGTTAACAATTTTCATTTAACTGCTTACAAATCCAAATGTACATAAAGTTGATCACAGTTCAGTAATAGTCAGTGACTATTGAACTAAGCAAGAGTCATAGGGCCAAATCGTATGAGTCACTCAGTAAATTTCATGAGGTAATATATCACCTTAATCTTGCAAGGTGCTGAGCACTCTTGACCTGATCTAGCAAAGCACACAAACACATACTTCACTTCAAGCCTGTGAGAGTTTCCAATGAAGTCATTGAGACAGCCCATATGCTTAAAGTTAAACATGTTGTTAAGTGTTTTGGAGGACTGGGGCCAGAGTGCTCAGCATCTTACAGGATTGAGCCTTTAATTCTCTATTTGTAGTCATTGGGAATTTTGAGTACTCGACATATCCGAGTCCCCAATCCTGCAAAGCGCATGAATACCTTTAAGCATTTAAGTGAAATCAGTGGGACAACTCATGTACTTGCAGTTAGACACATGATTAAGTGTTTTGCTGTATAGGGGCCAGAATGAGGTACTAACATTGAAAACTCTTCATCATTCTTGTGACCCACATTCCTTTCTCTATTTATCTGATGAGTAGTGAACTATGCTTGTTGGCTTATTTTCTCTACCACAGGTTGACTTTTGCCTCTTTGACCTTAATTAGTGAAAGGGTGGGCAATTTGTTGTATGTTACCATTGCGATGTGAACCAATCCTTTTGTCAAAGAGAATCCCTGCAATTTATATTTTTCATTTTTTTTAATTAGCTGAGGATTTGATACCCGAAGACCTCCTCTTTGCAATGTCCAGCTCAGAAAAGTTCACCTGAGAGGGGAACAAACTTACTCATTTAGCTATTGTTTTCAGTTCAGGCATGGATCTATCTGCTACAGTTGGTTTATTTGTGCTAGAACAGAAAATTAGTCTCCTGGCACAAACATTTTAATGTATATTATCCCAGAAGTTTTGTTTTTCCTTTGCATAGGTAAGAGGCAATGAAAATTTATTACTCTTGAAAATGTATTAGAGGATTAGTGGTGGCTTATATTTTGCAGAACAACAACTTTGGTTGCCAATATTCTAAAGTGATAACTTTGCCTTTATAGTCTTATATATATTGATTTTTCAGTGCACTAAAATTGTGAGATATATCTATACTACAGAGTGACTAGTTCAGGTCAAAGAGGCAAAAGTCAACCTGTGGTAGATTAATCACAGCATTTGAAATAATTAAGCAAATTGGATGTTTTAAATGCTGCCTAGGTAATTTAGTTGACCAGTTTGATAAATACTGCACTTTAATATTTGATAATTATGATTCCTAGTAGTTTGTGAGAATTTTTGGTTATGAGCAATTAGCTTTTATTTTTAATTAACCAAAATGGCTAAAAATAATATATAGTGTATAAAACCTGTTATCTTGCATCAAAATGTGTTTCTTTATATTCATTTGTTTTTACCGCTGCTTTGGGGTCAGGTATTGAACGTATTTATGCTTTACTGAAGTGGGTAGTTCTACAGATTACTATGGTCTGGGATTCTCAAAAGGGCCTTATGACAGGGTACATAAACCCTGCACCATGTAAGATGTTTCTCTGAGCTGGAGTGGCTCAGCCTTGATGCACCTGTAAGTCATGTCAGGACTGAAGGAGGCATTCAAGAGGGGAGATCCCCAATCTTCCCAACTCCTAGGGAGGGGCCTGATAGACACAGAGCCTGCTTCCTTGCCTAAAGAAGATTCAAGCCCTCTGAGGTAAAGGAGCATTACACTTTCCTTTTCCTTAGTTTATTTTCCTGTTCCTACTTTATTTGTTCCCTGAGCCCTGGAAGGGGTAAGCATCCAGAGGTACTCAACTAGAGGGATCAGACTCTGTGTCCTCTTCAGAGTGCTACTGAGAATCCCCATTTGAGTCTACAATCCTGTCAACATCCTAAGAGGGTGCTCTTGCATGACCAGAACCCTGACAGTCCTAATTGAAATTCTCTGGAAGATGGCAGCCTAACTCAGTTAATCTTTTTTGGAAATCACAGACCATAGCAATTAAGATTAAGTCAAATTAAATCAATAAAACAAAAAGAGGGTGGATGATGGAAGCATTATTATCCCCATTTTACAGATGAATCATCAAGGCACAATGGGATTAACTGACTTGTCAAAAGTCACACAGGAAGTCTGTGAAAGGTCCTGAGAATTTTAATTATTAGGTAAGGTAATACTTAAAGCATGTCTACACTTACAGCATTGCAGCACGGCTTGTGAAGACACTCTATGCCAACAGGAAAAAGCTCTCCCGTTGGCATAATAAAACCATCTCTGTGAGCAGCAGCAACTATGTTGGCAGAAGAAGATCTCCTGCTGACACAGCGCTGTTCATACTGGTGCATACGTCAGTGTAGTTTATGTTGGTGTAACTTATGTCACTTGGGGTGGTTTATTCACACCCTGGAGTGACATAAGCTATAGTGTAGAGCATTGGTTCTTAAAGCCGGTCTGCTGCTTCTTCAAGGAAAACCCCTTGGCCCGCGCCGCTTCCCGCAGCCCACATTGGCCTGGAGCGGTGAACCATGGCCAGTGGGACCCGCGATTGGCCAAATCTACTGACACAGCAGGTAAACAAACCGGTCTGCACCACGGGCTTTCCTTGAACAAGCGGCAGATCGGCTTTGAGAACCACTGGTGTAGACATAGCCAAAACTGTAAGATCTTTGGGGCATAGTCTATCTTTGTCATAAGAGTACAGTTACTCACTTGTATTAATGTTTACCATATCAGATTGTATTTACTGAACACTGAGCATCTCTGGTAAAACCCACAAAATGAGGCTACTTGTGCACCTACAGTAACTCACATGCCTACCATGTTTGACGGATCAGGCTGTAAAAATGCATGGAGATCCTGATAAAAGTAGCAATAGGAAATTTTATCCTACAGTGTGTGTTTATGCCTGATTTGTCAATGGGGTTTTATAGCAAACATGCTAAAAGGGTCATGAGAGCTATGTTAGAGTGCAGAACTTATAGTAGCATGAAACGTGCTACCAGGAATCATGATGCTTCATTGGTTTCCGCTTTATTATACTGCTGCTTAGTAGTGTGTTTCTTTTGCAAGAGGACACATATTTAGCCTATTGAAGATGCAGGGTCCCTATAAAATATGCTCAATGTTCAACTTCTGACTTAAAAAAATCTTTAGTATTTTATTGACTACATGCATTTTTTTATTCTTATGAAAACCGAACAGATAAGATAAAATAAATTTTAACAGACACTTGACTAGTGCATTAAAAATTGTTTTCTGCTAATCCTTTGGTGAAGGTATATTGATTTTTAGAAAAAAATCTTTCTATAATTAATATTCTTCAATACTGATTCTAATGCTTTGCTAGCCTTGACTATAAAACATTATGGCCTGGTTTCTGACCTATGTTTTGCTGTTAGGCAAAAGCAGAAAGAGGCCAGAATCTAGAATTACTTTCAACATAGCAAAGGCAGCATGGTCTAGTGGATGGAGCACTGGACTGGAAATCCGGAAAACTCTGTTCTATTTTTGGGTCTACCAGTGACCTAATCTTAGACCTTGGGCAAGTCACTTCATTTCTCCAATTCTTTGTTCTCTTGTCTATTTAGATTGTAAACTGTTCAGGCCAGGGACTGTCTCTCACTGTGTGTCTGTATAGTGTGGAGTGCAATGAGTTCTGGTTGGTACCTCTAGGTGCTCATGTAATACAAATAATGAAGATAATAGAGAGGTCCCTTTCCTCCAATCCAGTAACACAGGAAATTTCTCTAGTACTCCAGAGTTCTGGAAAAAAGACAGATCCCAACCTGGTCCAGGCACCATGGATTAAATTTTTCAAAAGAGCTAAGGGCTAGATTTCGAGAGTTCAGCATCAAGAATTAATGCCAGATTTTCAAAAGAGCTCAGTTTCCTCTTGGCACCTAGATAAGGGCCAGATTTTCCTTGGAACCAAAGAACTCCCATTTTGATGTTCATGAAATGATTTTTCAAATGATCTCAATGCCCAACTGGCTGAGTACTAAAAAAATTCTGGCCACTTATTTGCCTAAATGGGATCTGAGCTCTTTTGAAAATATATCCCTAATGTCCCCAAAAAGGTGGTTGTCTGATAAGGATGACGTCCATCTTTGTCTCCCTCCCAATGACAGGTATATGACGGTTGGTAGTATACATCCTCTAGTGGTGCACTTATCTTCTTTGTGGAGTGGCAGAGAAGTGTGCTTGGCAGCATGTCCCACAAGTCCACCCAATGAATTCCTGATCTGCACATAAGGATTCCTAATCAGGACAGGATGTTCCCACCAGAATCCTTGATATCTTGTAGCAGCAATAGCTGGGGTAAGAATTCAACTTGACATGTAATTAGGAAATCCTTATTACTTACAGAAACCTCATTTTGATTCCTGATTAGTACAATACTGGTTGAACCAATGGTTTAAAAAATAACCAAGCAGACTCCCACTTAATTGGAGCATTATGTTTCTTTACATTGTCAGAGCTCTGGCTGGTCTGGAACACTGGACTGACTGACTGATTTCACTGTGATCTAGGGATGGCAATCCGGAAGACAGGTTTGGAAATTTTTATTTCAACATTTAGGGTGAAATACTGGCCCTACTGAAATCAATGGCAAAATTCTCAATAAATTCCATGGGGACAACTATTTCAACCCTAGATTTTCATTAAATTATACACTTAATGAAATGGTCTATGGAAATTTCAAATGTGGAAAAAATGTTCCTATTGGTTGTTTTGTGAAATGTTGTCACTCTTAGTGTTTGTTATTTGAAGAAGCATATAGGGCTACTGTTAAGGTTCCTTCCCCACTCTGAACTCTATGGTACAGAGGTGGGGACCTGCATGAAAGACCCCCTAAGCTTATTCTTACCAGTTTAGGTTAAAAACTTCCTCAAGGTACAAACTTTGCCTTGTCCTATTCTGCTACCACCAAGCGTGTTAAACAAAGAACAGGGAAAGAGCCCACTTGGAGACGTCTTCCCCCCAAAATATCCCCCCAAGCCCTACACCTCATTTCCTGGGGAAGGCTTGATAAAAATGCTCACCAATTTGCATTGGTGAACACAGACCCAAACCCTTGGATCTTAAGAACAATGGAAAAAACCAATCAGGTTCTTAAAAGAAGAATTTTAATTAAAGAAAAAGTAAAAGAATCACCTCTGTAAAATCAGGATGGTAAATACCTTACAGGGTAATCAGATTCAAAACATAGAGAATCCCTCTAGGCAAAACCTTAAATTACAAAAAGACACAAAAACAGGAATATACATTCCATTCAGCACAGCCTATTTTACTAGCCATTAAACAAAACAGAATCTAACACATATCTAGCTAGATTACTTATTAACTTTTTACAGGCGTTCTGAGCTGCATTCCTGATCTGTTCCCGGCAAAAGCATCACACAGATAGACAGACCCTTTGTCCCTCCACTCCAGCTTTGAAAGTATCTTGTCTCCTCATTGGCCATTTTGGTCAGGTGCCAGTGAGGTTATCTTAGCTTCTTAACCCTTTACAGGTGAAAGGGGTTTGCCTCTGGCCAGGAGGGATTTTATAGCATTGTATACAGAAAGGTGGTTACCCTTCCCTTTATATTTATGACAGCTACCAACGAAGAATTTACAGGAAATGCATCATCTTCAGTTATGTAAAGGAGTAGGAGGCAATACGTACAGTATAAGCCCAGGTGATAATATTTCATTAGCTTTTTTTTTCAAGATGTATGTGTACTGTAGATGTCCCCTTAACTTCAATAATAAAATGTAAGAATGGGTGGAAAAAGTAGGTTTGTAGCTGGTTCAGGGTATTGGCTTGAGAAGAAAACACTGAATGTATTGGGTATTAGTTTGTCATGCGAGTGTAGGGACTCTTCACAAAGCAGATTTCTGGTATCAATGGCCTTGTTCTGAAATTTTAATAATCTTATTTAACCATGGACAAAAATTAAATTTGCATTAAAGCCATATTGGTTAGCAAAGCTGGAATACTGCATCGGTAGCAGGTGGAAAGCAGAAGTTTATCAGTTCTGTCCTTTCCAGTCATATCTCTGCTGTAGGAATTAATTATCAAAGTTTATTGAGATATACCAATAAATTGCAGGCCAAAACTATGTAAAATTAAACTATTGTGAGCAAAGAAGGCCTCACTAGTGAACGTAAGTTTCACTTGACTATTTTATTATCTTCTTGGCCCCCTTCCCTTGCCATCTTTTTAATTAGCTTACTATTTATTTTGAGTTTTCTAATGATTTCCCCTTTGAAACAAAATATGTATCTTTCAATATTTAAAGCATGTCAGTTATAAATATTGGAATATTGTCTATTTGCTAAAACTTTCATTTCAGTAACTGTATAATTTTTTTGTCCAACTTCCTATGGCTGAACATGCTCTTCTGATTTTAAAATTCCCCCTTTAATGCTGATCTACATTAAGTGACTAATGTGATGACTGCCATCTTGGGAACCTCCTTAGCTGAAAGTATGGGTCTCTACGACTTTATCTAAAGAGCAAGGCTCCATAGTTGGTGCTGTTACACACCCACAACTTCAATGGATTGGGTGCAGAGGAAACATATTGCTCTGGAGAGAGGAAGTACATCCTGAATGGCAGGCTCACGTTAATTAGAATCTCAGACAATGCCACATTCATATGTTGGCTGCCACCTTGATTGACAAGAGGGATTGAACCTCTAAAGCTGAAGCATGTCTCCAGAGCTTGAGCTAAAGAGCCAGACTCTGTGACTGGCAGTTATAATAGATTTGCCTCATCTGTGGGTCAAGGGTATGTAACACATGATAACTAACACAAATTTCCTCTCTACCTGTAGATCATTTGTAGTCATGAAAAAGACTAAGGTCAGGTTTCAGCCAAGCACTTAATCATATGCTTAAATTTATCTTCACTAGCAAACTGTCAAACGTAATGGGAAAAGAGGACATAGAGAGAAATTCCTGGCAAAAAAACAAAAGTCTATGCGAAATCAGTAAATATATGCAGCATATTTGTAAACAGAAGAAAAATCTTTAAGGACTGCTTCATATCCACACCTGAAAAAATGTCCTTAGACATTAAAGGAAAAAGGGAAAGCCCCTGGGTATACTCTAATTCTGCAACTTGTTCCATCCAAACAGAGCTTTGTGCTTGCACATAACAAGTTAGAGAAACAGGGCCAAAGAGGTAAATTAAGATGTCTGCTTCTCTTAAGAAAATAAGTGTTAGACTCTAGCTCATGAACATAGCTATACAGCTCTTCATTTACCAGTCTGTATGGGATCTCCCATTCTAAGGGAGGACTGTTGAGATGGTGAGGTAGTTCCAACAACATCTGGATTGCTCGTTTCTTCTTGACCCCAATCAATTTGGGCATAAGCCTGGATGTAAGATGGAGATGGCACTGTTATGGCTTAAAATCAGTCATCTACATGACATTTTTTTCCAGATCCATCAGTCACCTGATAGGCTGTTGATGTGCCAGCAGACCATGGCAAGGTTTTAGTTTGTTTTGTTTTTTAAAGGCTTCTGTTTCTTTGATTTGGAGAGATTCCTAAGATGGGTAACTGTGCATTTGCTTTCTCCTTGAGAAGAGGACTGCAGATAATGTGGTTTGTTTGTTTGTTTTCTTTTAATGAAGGACTCTCAGCTTTGGAACTTGCTAAGACCCTCTAGGCTTAAACCAAGGCTATTTCTTATCCTAGGTTTTTTGAGATGGGTGCAGGTTAAAGAAAGTATAATAATAAACTGGTACAAGGAGATAAGGGTGATATTTCGAATACGCTATTGGGGTGAGGTGAGTTTATATTTCATTTAGTTTATTCCAAATAAATAAACAAATCTGTAGAAGAGAGTGGCCCACAAAGTGCTGTTCTCCTCTGGAAAGTGACCTGTGTAAAAATGGAACCTTCTTACACAACACGCCTACTCTGTCTGTGAATTCATTGTCACTTCTGCTGATGTTGCTGACTAAAAAAATATGTTTTTACTACTCTTTTCCTTCTGTTGGTATTGCAAAGTCAATACAACTCAAACAGAGCGAGCTGGATTCTACTAAAAAGAAAAGGAGTACTTGTGGCACCTTAGAGACTAACCAATTCTACTGCAGCTTGTGTTACAACCAATAGAATTAACTACTGGTTAAGGCCCTATTACAGAATCAGCTAGAAGAAGATAGTTTGACTTTCAGATTCAGTGGTGAATTTTCAGGGCTGACAGCTCAAAAGCCATATTTTTACTTGAAAATCAGGAATATTTGATCTTTAAGTATTTGATAGACAGGACCACATACTTCCATTCTTACAGTCACTTTTCAGATTGGATCTGTATTTTAATAGTACATGTAGCTTGAAGTAATAGCAATAGCTGGTACCGTGATGTTTTTTGTGGCTGGCAGTGCTTGATTATATAGAGAGACTAAACAGAAACTATACACAAGCTTTGGAGGGTGTGGATTATGTGTTTGTTTGTTTTTTAAAAATCTACAACTTCCTGGGCAGAAATCAGAGTTCATGAGCACTGGTGACTCACTATAATGCTGCATAACCTATAGCTGCATATCTTACTGAAACTATTTTATTCATACATTTTAAAACATTTGAATGATGAATTTGTAATCGGAAAGTGGAATAGAAATGTTTTCTATGTAGACCATTTTTTTCCCAAGTGTCTATTAACCTAACTTTATCACTTAATTACAAGGTTATATTAATCCTGTATGGCTTAATGAAATTTGTATGAGGTTTATACAATTACTGACCATGGATTTAACAATTATTTCTTAGAACATTTACCTTTTATTGAGTAAAATATGCATTTTTGAGGGAACACATTATTCTGGCATCCCCTGCAGTAATTTCCATTGATTGGAGTGCATGTGCTGGTGAGAACAGAACAGATCAATTGTACTGAGTCAACAAGACGCTCATCATATTAACAGATGTTTTTATTTTCACGTAGCAATAGGAGCTTTATGGGCCATTGTTTTCCTTTTCTCCCAGAAGGACATGTCAGTATGGTTATAATTTACAATCTGGATGTTCTGTTACAAGTCCAAAGGTCCCTGACCAAAAGGCTACAATCCTCTGAGACACTTGTAATCAGTTTAATGAACTTACAGAATTTGTCCTTAAGAGACTACTGTGGTTGGGAAAAAAAAGATTATTCATGATAAAATGTGTTTAACTGACTTGCCCTTGAACAAAGGACAACAGCTAGTGCATATCATGTTCAAACTCTTTCCATATGGACACATCACACCAAACTCTGAATGCCAACAAAGAAAATAATATTAATTTGGTAGAGGCTCTCCTTCCCCCTCATAAAAATGTTTGTTTGTGGTGTCAAATTCATTTGTACTAAACTTTTACTATCAACTGTTTCTCAGTTTGTCAAGTACAATCCAACTATGGTGAAGCCTCCATGGGTGCAATTGATTGGTACACATTTTTTTGCCTGTTCATTCCCAAAGCTTATTGAAAAGCTTTTTTGTTAAATTAGGATGCAGATATCTCACCAGGTTGCAGATAAATCTTGATTTTGCCTAGGCCAGCTAAACTGTGAAAT